ACTCTTTCAGAAAGCTGACAGAACATGAAGATCTGTAAGCCATTGTCAGTCCCTAACTTCCCTCGTTTCTGTTCTTTCAACTTGTATTAAAGTGAATCTGAACACGATTGGGTTTATGATGTTAACCAGTTACCTACAGCTGATGAGCTCCAGGAAGAGCGAAACCAGTTCTGTTCTGTTTCAGCAGTTATGAAAAGTAAGGACTGGTCCTGTAGTACTGTCCAGCATCAAAATAATCACTCCTAATTTAAATGCTCTTTTGAAAGAAGTTATCTTCTGAAGAGTTCTCACACCTGTGTATTATGTTGCATTTGCTGCTAGCGTCTCAGGAAAGTGTGGGATTTTTGATGAAACAACGATGGTAGTTAACAAAGGCTAAAGACTGAAGCGTGATCTAGCAGTAGAGAAAAGGTAATTTAGCAGTACCACAGGCTTTCCCCCAAAATATGCCAGACTCTTAATTTTAAAATCCCATTTAACTTTCTGTATTGTTCCCCTTTAAATGGGAGTAAATAGTTTGCTCTGCTACCAACTCCACTGTTATTAACTTCAGCTATTTCTTTTTGTAGATAAGGGTGTATCTTACTGGGTGCAACATATAGTTGCCACTAAGTGACATTTAGGATAACTGACTGAAGAAGCCTAGTACTTACATTCGATTTCTAGTGACAGACACCATTCAATATATGGTCACAGGGCTATCTATTCAAATCTGTGTCAGAGTTGATCTGTGAGAGAAGGAAGTGGAAATAGACAGGCAGCATTCATGAGTAAGAAATGGAAAAGCAGCATTCATAAATAATAGAGTTTTCTGTGAACTGGTGCAGCAGTGGCCAGGAAATTGAATGAATTACAGGTTCTTTTGTGGATTTCAGGTAAAAGCTGCCCAAAAGAAATGGTGGGGAGAGGAAGTCAAAAACTTTGCCATCAGAGGTGTCTTTAAAAACAGTTTTCTCTTCTCCCTGAATCAGTACACTTTTCACTCAGGACACCATTCAGAATGCTCAAAAGATGACAAGGCTGGCTTTACAGTTTGGGTGGTGGTATCTGCAATTTTTATTGATACCTTTACAAGTAAACATTTCACCTGTAAAGAAATATGTAATGTAACTAAGTATAGAATTACAACTGCCTTAAACTAAAATAGGAGAGCTTGGTTCTTCTGGCTTAAGGTGGAAGTTCATAAATCATCTTGTGACTGAAAATCCTTTTGCAGGCTGCAAATATCTTGAAAACACTTCAAACAAAATTTGAGCATCTTGTATTGATGTATGAGAATCCTTCTATTCAGCAGAAAGCACTAGCTTCAATTCCCCTCCAGCAATTGAAAGGGAAGGCTCAGAAAAAGCTAGCACAAGCTACAAGACTGGACAAAGGTAATGCTACCACGTTATACTGTATATGAAACTAGAAATATTCTTTCAAACATCTGGATGATGCCTGTATCTACTATGCTTTAGGTGTGTGGATTTGGTCATGTGTCTGCAGGTTCCAAATGCTGTCTCTAAATTAGAATTACCTTCTTCCTAATTTTCAAATTTTCTACTCTTCTCTCTCCTTACTTCTGTTATTTTTTTATTTCACTTTTGTCATCCATCCTTTAGTGCTTTCACGTAGAAATTTTGCAGTCTTAATTTCTGAATTAGTAGTAAACGATGCTGGGGAAACAAATAGGGTGAGCATGTACTGTTATATTCCTTGCATCTAGAGTGAAATAGCTACAAGAGGAGGGGAGCTTCTTGTTTGAGTAGTCATTGTTTTGAAATTGTCAGAGTGCAGTTTTCCCGTATGTACTACAATTCAAAATTCAGAATAAAATTTCAAAATACTGCTTCTCTTTTTAAAGTGATATTATTGGTGAGATTCTGCATGAGACCTTTCCAAGACACAACCTGATACAAAGAATCACCTAATGCTCAAAAGAATAGGGTTGTTCACATGCCATCCTCTTGGAGCTGGAAGTGAAATATAGGCATAAATATTTGTGGCATCAGTGGCTAAAATTTGTGTTTTCATAAATGCAAATTTGTTTTGAATGTACTAAGTCTTTGTTAGTTAAAATGACATATTTTCAAGTGACAGTTTTAGATTTGTTTCAGCAATATAGTGAAACTTTACTTGTATGAGATAAATATTCAAAAAAAAAATTATTCCAAGACCATATTTAAACAAAAAAATCCTTTTCATTGTGAATCTTTGATAGAATACTATTTAAAGCAGTTCTGCTAACTTGATGGGAGTGCTGTTGATTTGCAAACCAAAAATCAGCTCTTCTCATCTTTTTTATAAAAGACCTTGTGATGTCTCATACAGCCACACACTAATATGTAATTGTGCCTTTGGCATTAGGGAACTTTTTGACAATGGATTTTCTTAGTAATTTTTCTCTTTTTATAAAACTATACTGGGAAGTAGGAAACCACATAAACAAGTACAAAGCATTCTCATTCAGCAGCATAGGGCAGTGCAATGGGGAAGAGACTTAGCAGTAATAAACAAAAACTATTTAAATTCCTTTAAAAAGGAAAATAAAGCCAAGCATAGCTCTTAGACTCAGCTCTAATTCTGCTGTGCACATTATTAAAAAGGGGAAGGAAGGAGGAGGGTGGTGTTTCCAAGTGCTTCTTCCAAAGACATCAAGCAGATCCATTCAAAATGGCTTCCAGACCTTAATTTAGATACAAATAAAGGGGAAGGGATGGAGCTCCACTGTTTTGGATTGCGATGGTTTGAAAGCATTTTTAAAGAGCTTTATAGAAATATTCCTTTGGGAATGGACTGTGTATGAGATGTATGGGAAATTGGCCCTTTCAGCTTCTTTGGTCTATCTGTATTGCTGTATTAAGACTCATCTGTGGGAATAACTGCTTAGTGCTGGGGGACTTTTGTTTTTAGGACTTCCCTTACAATGCATAATAGGCATTTTTGGCTCATAAAGGCTAGGAAGATCACGGTCATTTGGTCAGGAGTACAGACTTTTTTTACTGTTTCCCTTTACCACTTTCCGTTAGAAAGCTGGATTGTGCAGTCAAAAATAGCTGCATGTCACAGCCAACTGTTTTCTGTTCAAATAAATCACATTCATCATTCTTTCCATGCAATGTGTTTATGAAGGATTTATTTTGCAAACCAAGAGAAGAATATTCATGTGATAGCAGTCATATTTTCATAGCTGGGTTCTGGTTTGTATGTTGTTATCCAGGAAAAGAGAATATGGCCTGTGCTCAAAATCTTATCATTCAGTTTTTAGCAGAAAGTTTGGATATACAAGTATATCCACTTTGTAAGCAATAACACCTTGTCTGAGTGTTCCAGTACAAATGTTTTTCACATATAATAAGTACAAATGGAAATTTTACTACAATTAAAAGTCAGGTTTTCTTGCTTTAATTAACAGATGATTTTTTTTCTCATGCGCTTTATAGTCTTGGCAATGTGTGTTTAATAGAGTTAGGGCCCCCACAGTGTCTTTTGTATCAAAGACTACTTCAGCTTCAGAGGAAGATGTGAATTGAGCTTAAATAAGTAAAACATCTTACCTAGTCTTTCTTTGCCATCCTGAAAAAGGAGCTAGTGCACAAATTTAGTGCAACTTCCTTTAAACAGCATTTTTATAAATTATTTTTGTATCTCCATATTCATTAGTCAGACTTGTCTGCCCTGTGACTACAAACAAGCTGTAGTACATAAAGTAATCAGGTATTAATATCTATGATTGCGGTGTGGCCTAGATGATGGCGTTAATAGGAGGACTTATTTAAATGTTTATGAATCTGAGAGGAAAGAGTATCTCTCTGGGCATTGGAGCGGAATATACATTTAAAGACTCTAAGGAGTTAGAACCCCTTTTGGGTCGCTTTTGGCAGACTAGATTTTTAAATTCGTTAACTAGGTAAAGTGGGGTTATTTCCAGGTGGTGGAATAGTGACAGTGTGTGAGTAGATTCTAACACTTGCTGTGAACACAGGAAAATGGGCCAGAAGAGTCTGGTGGTCTAATGTGGTGGAATTGGCTAGAGTAGAAAAATAAAGACATCCTGTGTCTAGCTTGGGTAAGCTGACAAAGGTGTTTATTTGCTGAATTTATAAACAAACTCAACTTCATCCACATGGTATATGTACACTTTCTACAGTAATTAAGTTGCATTTGTAGAAAGTCTGTTCTTGTTACACCTAGTTGTCTAGACTGCTGCCAGTGTCTGGTTCTTTGGGGTTATGAAATCAAGGCAATTGTTATTCCTAGTCTAATAGCTAAGAATAGGAAAAGAATATTTAGGAGCAGAAAAAGAATTAACACTCTCTTCTGAAGCCCTGGAAGAATATGAGGGGCATGAGGAACCTCACTGGGCTTTACTGTATATCTAACTTGTTTTTCTGAGCAATTCCTTATTCTCACTCTAGCTGTACTGCTTAGGAGTGCAGTTTTTTGTTCTTTAGATACACAGTTTGATGTTATTCAGTCTTGAGAATTTAGATTTTCTTTTTTGTATGTGCTTAAGTAACATATGAAGTTTTTTTATAATGAGACTTCTAAAATGTAATAAAGGCCCAGAGATGGTGATATATGTAGATACTGGAAAGTTCAACTAAATTATTTTTTCATTTGACCTAACTGTGCTGTGTAAATTTTACAGGTGCACATGTGAGTGAAGAGGACTTCTTGTTGTTGGAGCTCTTGGACTGGTTTAAGAATGACTTTTTTCACTGGGTAAATAATCTTCCTTGCAGCAGGTGTGGTGGGCAGACAGAGCCTAAAAGTGACTACCTGTTGCCTACTGATGATGATCTAAGATGGAATGTCAGTCGAGTGGAAAATCATTACTGCAACCAGTGTCAGTTCTGTAATAGATTCCCAAGGTAAGCATGCAAAGATTTGTTTTGTCTTTTTTTTCTTGTCTTTCCAGAAACAGCTTTGCATTTGTGCATTTTGTGAACAAGTGATAAGTTGTTGGTTGAAAGATTAGAGAAGCCGTTTTAAGCAACGTGATAGGATGGTTGATAACCAGCTATTGCTCTATAAGATCAGAGATTTTTAAGAACAAAATATTGCTTTCTTTTAAGTAGCCTTGTTCTGAATACTTGTCTGATTTTCTTCTTTTTTTTTTTTACTGTTAATTTGATAATGTATTTTATTTAGAAATTGTACTTTAATATTGGCATAGTATGTAGGTAGGTTTTTGTTATTTCAAGGAAAACTTTCACTTCTATGGGAAATCACATAGGGTAATAGATATCTTTTGCTGAGTCTATAGCAAAAGAGCAAATACCTAATTTTTTTGTATTTTTGCTAACTTATCGAAAGGACTAGCATAGAAAAACTATATTTTTAAGATGAAGTCTAAATCAATTTTGATAACTGAAAAAACCCAGATTCATTTCACTGCTGCGATAAACGTGATGGGGTCATGTGAGTCAAAGTAAAAGTAGCATTCTGCTCACGCTTGTTTTGTGCAGTACAGCAATCATTTCCATTGTCTTCTGTGGGTGGAATGACACTGAATTCTGTTCAAATCGTCACAAGGACAGGCATGATGTAAAGATTTTGAAAGGCGAAATGTATTTTCAATTATTCTGGTTTTGTTTTGTTTTTCTCCTGTAGGTATAACAACCCCGAAAAACTTCTGGAAACCAGATGTGGACGCTGTGGCGAGTGGGCTAACTGTTTTACACTGTGTTGCAGAGCTGTAGGGTTTGAAGCTAGATATGTATGGGACTGTACAGGTATCAGTATTCTAGACTATCATAATGTTAATACAAACCTATGCAAAATGGGGTTATATATTTTATGGTTCTCAGATTATATTAGCCATCAGGCAGCATATAAAGTTATGCAGTTCAGCAAACAAAGACTGAATATAAATTCAGCTTCCTGTCTTGCTTGATGAGATGAAATATAGTTCTGCAAGTAAGGTTAGATGATTGACTTCAGAATGATACAATCTTTAGTTGAATCTAAGTGAACATGATCCTAAAATAGAAAGAGAAAGCTCTGGTAACTTTTCTGAATGTAGATGAACAGAAAACATGTTCTTTCACTTGTTCCTTCATTTAATAAATCAGGAAAAGTTACAATATGGTGCAATATTAGAAGAGAGGATCTATCCTTACAATTCATTGTTTATTCATGGCCTTTGTTATATAGATCATGTGTGGACTGAAGTATATTCTTCATCTCAGAAAAGATGGCTTCACTGTGATCCCTGTGAAAATGTCTGTGATAAACCTCTTCTCTATGAAACTGGGTGGGGAAAGAAGCTCTCCTACATAATTGCATTCTCCAAAGATGAGGTAGGAGTAACGATGTTAATAAAAAACAAACTTGCCCTGAGGCAAGTGTGTGATATTCCATCTTAGTGTGATTTCCAGAATTATTATAGAAAAACATACTTTGAGCTAGCCTCTTTAAATGAAGCAAGGTACATGGGAATTTTTGGTTGCTTTATTTTCTTCTTCAACTTGTGCTTGAGGTTGTTGATGTCACCTGGAGATACAGCTGTAAGCATGAAGAAGTACTCTCTAGAAGAACAGCACTCAGTGAAACTACACTACGTGAAACAATTAACGCATTAAATAAAACGGTATGTAACTTTTCTTAAATGGATTTCTTCAAGTGAAACATAAGTGTCTTTCCAGAATGTGAAGTCCTTGAACAAAGGAATGCATTTGGTAGCCTGTTAGGAATGTCCATGCACTATGGAATGTAAAATGCTGCTAACTATACAGACCTCATTTTACACTGAATACATAGGATTCAGTCACAGTGCTGAACTTAGGTGAAATAAGATAAAGAATGGTATGTAAAAGGATTACCATATTATCTCTTACATAGTCAAGTGGGTGTGTATATACAGTGTGTGTATATATAATATATACTGTGTGTGTATATGTATGTTTTCTTGATGGCTTTGGAGTAGACTTGTGTATCACCAGATGTTGGGGTAAACTACAACTGCTTTGTAACTGTGTGGACTCCTTGAGGGTGGCTGAGCATTTTCCACATCAATAATGCTGTAACTTGAAAACAATAGCATTTATAGTTAAAAGAAATGTAGGCCTAATTTGTTTCCCATAACTTCTTACAAGCTCTAGGAAGCAGGAAGAATGATCCACAGGCTGTTTCCAAGACTTTCAACAAGTGTTGATTGTCAGTAGAGCTTTGGCTCAGAGCCGCACATACTGTTCATGCCTAACATCCCCAAAACACATGGAGCCATTTGTACCTGCATGTCATAGTCACAGAACCCGAGTGCACTCAGCACCTCTCTGCTAAGCTTTTTCCACTCCCTACTTGCGTCAGGATGAACTTTTCTTGACTCTATATACTAGAATACCACAAAACCTTGAACCACCTGTAAGGTTCCGTTTTGTCCCCACTTCCTTCCAGGGCTAATTTCTGTGCATCGGAACTTTAGTTCTTGTGATAGTATATAACTGATGGCTTAATAAACAGTTTTTGCCTTTTTAGAGGCCTGCTGGTTTGAGGGTTATAGCCACACACTAAGAGTGTGAAGAATTGAGCTGGACTCATGATTTCAAGCCCTGGCCTCAAATGTTTTATCAGTAATGAAAAATTAGAGTCACATAGCAGAGTGGAGCACTGAGAAGGCTGACCACAGAGTAGCAACATAAAAGGAGGTAAAGGATCAGAAATTCAAATTGAGGAATGCATACACTTTGTGCAGGGTTGCAGTAATTTAATGGTGTCCTCTCCAAGCATTGAACCCTTGCTGACTACAAAACTGATCTTCTGATCTACTGGCAATAGAAACCAGTCACCAGACTCTTCTCCTCCACCGGCTGTCTGTAGGGAGAGAGAACCTTGGAAATGAGGTGCTAGTAAGTTGAAAAATTACTCTGACAAGATTGATGGAATCAGGAAAGTGTAGGTAACTGACTCATGGGCTGGCTTGCCTGACCTCCTTTTCACCTCAATGATGTCACCATAGGATCATGCTCTGTTTCACTTACGGCAGTCTAGAGAACTCCAGTAAAGTGCACTGCCATCTCCAACAGATGGTGCTGCACGTTGGTCTGTTGGCCTGTTTCTTATTTTTTTTCCAGCTCATGAGCTGACATGAGCACTTTTCAAACAGAAAAAACAGGCATTCTGGCCATGTTTTAAATGAAAACATTAAAAACCAAGTAAGGTTTTTAAGGGAAGGGAAGAAAGCTATACACCGCGCTTCCAAGACACTCTTGTATTTCTCCTGTCTTCCTTTCTCTATATGTGGAAAATCCCAGCCCTTTCTTCTTTATGCTGCACACTTTCCCTATTCAATTATTATTAAAGCTGTCTTGTGATTATATTAGAACATCTTTGTCAGTCTCTTTGATGGTATCTTATTTTGAGGAACAACTTACTCTCCCTTTCTACAAGCTGAATGATACTCACACTCCCCTCCTCCCACACATACTTCCTTTTGCCCAGTAGCTGTTCACAAGATGTTTGATTAATTTAATTTATTAAATTGATAATAAATTTAATCCTTGTAAGTAACTGCTCTTACTCCCTTTTTCTTTTGTTTGTTATAGTTGGAATTGGATTTCAGGGACTTAGAGGCAGTTTGCCATCGGATTGCTAAAAGAACAGTTTTTCGTTCTTACATTTGTCTTAGTCAAAGGGCCTTTCCTAAAGTTCATACTAAGGTGACAATGCAGTGGGAATCAAGGGGCCATTAAAAAGTTGCTGTCTGAGGATCTCCATGTCATATTCAGCAACTTCTGTGGTTAGTAGAGGGGTAAGGCAGCTCACCCCTAGAACTATCAAGACATTTTACAGCAGGTTGCCATTACACTGCTCAGTCACAAGTCTCCATTTCAGCTAGTATGCTGTTTCCTTCACTGCAACCCATTCAGCAGATAACTGATGTAGGCAGAGGCCTCCACTAACTTTCACTTTTCCCATCATCTCCTGGAGACTGGTTCCCTACTAGGAGGGATTATAGTCTTGGTATCTTTTGATGCAGAGCTCCTAACACTGCATCTTTCAAGCTCAATTCTTCTAAGTTACAACTAAAGAGAAGCACAGTATGCAGTATACGTTATCACCTAGACTGCAATGTTAGTGAAAATGGAATCCAAGAGATCATTATTGTACTTTCCTGCATAAAGAACAATGGCTCTGCTCATTATTTCTCTGCCTGTCTGTCTGTTTAGTGGCCAAGTAGAGGCAACATAACAGTTCCAAGGGTGTTGAGTGACTGTCACTGTTAAATGGAAAAGAGGCAAGGATAATTTAACCCATTCAGTGCACTATCTTACTTCTCAGAAATACTGTGTGTGTGCTTTATTTGGGTCAGCCATTCCTCAATGGGTATGTAGCCTGTGGATTACCAACCATCGCATGTTATTCTATAGTACCATTTCACACTTTGACTAGAAAGTTTTTCTTCACCTACTTTGTACAGGCACTACCCTATTCCAGTCCATTGTATGTTACCTACAATAGGCAGTGCCCTATTCCAGTCCATTGTATGTTGCCCCTATAGAAAGGGGAGAGGACCCTGAACTTTCACTGCCTTCATTGGAAATTGGATGGTGGGGCAGGGAAACAAATTCTTTTTTATTTGCTCCAGGCCCCATTTTTGGTAGTGATTGTGAATGATTGTAGCTACAGCCAGGTCAGCTCTTAAAAGGAAAACTAGTAATTTAGGTTGAATTGTGACCATCTCGTGGTGATTGATGTGAGGTGAACCAGTATTCCTTGTTTAAACGTTTGAAATTCAATTTCTACCCTCAAATTATCTGTTGCTTACCCAGCAGTGGGTCCACTTAAATCACAGGTTATCCATCTTCCAAAACACAGTCCTTCAGAAACATCAACAGCATAACTTGCATGTGATGCCGAACTGATTTTAAAGCTGCAGTTCTGAAACCCTCTTCCTTCCTATTCCCTTTGTCTGCCAAAGATAGATGGGGCCTGAGCATGTATGTAGGGGGTAATACCTTAAGAAAAAACAAAAGCAGGAAGTTTGAGCCATGACAGTTGATAATGGAGTTCTTGGAATCTGTTTTAGTGCATGAATGCTATTGGTGACAATGTCACTTGTCGGAAATGTAGTTACAGGTTTTCCCAGCACAGGCAGTGTTGATTTCTGCAGACTCTGAGCGTTATGCATGTATTACAGGCTGCTAGCATTTATATGCAAAAGTCTATGGGGTGGGGGAAGATGACAAGAATTAACATACTTGTACTTTTTACAGTTGAGGAACTTACTAATTTCTTGTGTCATACATAAGAGGCCTGTCTTCTGAAACACCCCTTTTGTGTTGAAGCTCTGTTCTTTAACAGGTTTGTTTTTTTCAGATATTGTTACAACAGCTGCAGAGCAAGGGCAACCAATTCTCAGTGTGGCATTACTAGTTTCAGTGGTGATGACCCCTGACACTGGGTTTCCC